TTTTCAGGATCTAAAGAGAGTGCTATCCTTCCCCCCATACCCCGGGGATTACCTGCATCCAGTGGTGTATGCCTGCACCGCAGTTATGCTGCTCTGTCTGCTTGTCTCCATCATGACTTACATTGTCCACCACAGGTGAGACCTTATTACAAGATGATTTCAGACTTTTCATTGCAAAAAATATTCACATGCCTATATGTACATGTTGTGACTTTATATCATAAAGGTGTCTGTGTATCTCATAATGTTTCTTTATCTTCATCTTGTGTCTGTTAAAAACACCCACCTTCATCCAGAATAATGTGCAGAAGCAGACAGGTTTCAAGTAGAAAGTAGAACTGAGTGGTGATCGTGGGCCAGTTCACTTCAATTTAAACCTCCCAAAATTTTGTGTTGCTCTGCAAAAACAGCATATCAATTAAGATCAAGGAGCTGAAGCTGAAGGATCCATCTGCTCTGATACAAGGCTGGATTTTTTCATTAGAAATTGATAGGGGCTGCGTGGACTTTTAGAGATATTGAGTTATTTTATGAATGAACTGCACAGCCCATCCTGTTACAAAGGAGAAATTTATTACAAACACGTTTGGTTTATAAAACTAGTATTTGGTGCATTTGATTCTGTCCTCATGACAGAAATGACTTTATTTTATATAAAAATGTGCCATTACCTAATTCTAAAAACTTGTGTTACACAATTAACATTTTTCTACCATAGAAAGCAATTATATGTGTCAAAATTTTTTATTCATTACTGTTTTTTTTTAGCACTAATGCGCTAAATTACTTAAAATGTCATGTCCCCAGGTCAGTTACCAATATCAAAAAATCAAAAAACCTTTTATGTTGTTTCTTACTATTACATGTGTTTACTTATAATATTATGCACATGTTATTTTTTCCTCCCCAAATTTTGTCCCAGGTCAAAAAATAAATACATAAAAAAAACCTCTAACTGACACCATTCAGTTCATCTTTAACACATAAATCCCAACAGTACAGCCTCTTAATACCTAAAGAGGGTTTTGTGCTGGTACAGAATGTTGAAGGACCAGATTTACTAATAAAACTGAGAACTTGAGATATCAAATGGTCTTTGATGCAGTCTGCAGTGTGACTCCTGTGTTCATTCCCACAACCTTCTACCTAATTTAAGCTAAGACTGAATAAACACTATCTTTCTGATGTTTAACTTTTCTCCTTGTTTACAGTGCGATCCGAATCAGCAGGAATGGCTGGCACACACTCCTCAACTTCCTCTTTCACACGGGACTGACATTTGGTATTTTTGCTGGTGGAATCAATCAAATCAACTTACCTTTTGTGTGTCAGATTGTAAGTGTTGTGTTCTTGGTTTCTTACTGTGGTGATGTTTCAAAGTTCTGTTCAGGGCACTTAATTCTTAAAAGAATGATAGCTTTTATTATTTTTTTTAATCTGAAAATATTGGTTATTTTATATTAGACTGGCTTCCAAATTGTGTGACTGAGTATAACATGAAAAGCCCTCTAGTCGGTTAAAGTCAGGTTAAATGTAAACACTCCACTTTATTAGGTACACATTGCTAGCCCTGGCTTGGATCCCCATTTTACCCTGGGAACTTCCTTAATTCTTCATGATTTCATAAAGTACTGTAATTATTCCTCAGAAATATTGGTCTCCATAGACATGTCAGCAATACACAGTTGCTGCAGACTTCTTGGCTACACAACCGTAATGTAAATCTCCTGTGTTCAGAGATGCTCTTCTGTATAACGAGGTTGTAATGAAAATAATTGTAATGGTTTTGAGTTACTGTACTTGGAGCTGATAGGAAGGCACACCTGTTCTATAAACCTCAGGGATTATTTTATGTAAAAATAGACACATTGGCTGTAGCTTGCCAAGTGTTACGATCATCTCTCCAAAACGTTTATGGTTGAAAGATACAATAAAAGGGCGGCCTTATAGTTCCACCTCTGGTACTGAATATTTTTTACATTCAATATGAATTTTTTTGATTAAGTAGCATAATTTAAAAGATTGTAGCTGATATAACAATGCCTCCCATTTAACGGCACACACAAATAAAGTTATTTTTAGTTCATAGGTTTTCATGAACCTTCAACGGTTCTGCTTCTGCACCGTTTTGCTGTTTTATCACCAAAGTGAATCATGAATTAATTATAATCACAATATGACTGAAGCTCAGTGCATGCATAGTAATGTGATTCTGGTTCTGGAGCTTTTAATTTATTCAGTCCTTAGACATTGGAACCTAATAGAGTGCATTTTTGTTCTATGATGATTCCCAACTACACTCTTAAACTTCAGTTCACTCAATTTTTATGATGTCTATTTCAACCTGTGTTAGGTTGGCATTGTGCTCCACTATGCTTCTCTGTCTACCATGCTGTGGCTGACCTTCACTGCTAGAAACATCTGTAAAGATGTTTCCAAAGACCCACTTCAGGCACAGGAGAGGAATAGGGCTTCCCAGACTTGTACCAAACCAGCCATCCTCAGGTAAGCTGTAAACAGGCGCCTGCAGGTACAAGCAGGGCTGAGCAATGTTCATCAGTCATCAGTATGTGAATGAATCATGACTGTCCTTGGGTCATTTTCTCACTTTTACATTTTTCTGACTTTTATCATAACTAATTACTAATTTTTACAGATTTGAGACAATTGCTTCTTATCTGATCTTGCATATTTGAGAATACTGTTGACAGCAAGAGCACTCAGAGTGCAACTCCCCCCAAAGGGCAAAGGCTTTACTAAAACTTCTGTCTTATGATGTTTTATTACAACATGCTGCCTGTTATGGCATTGCTGTGACATCACAGGGTGTCGTATTGAAAAAAGCTCTCTTTCACATGATACATTATTCAAAAAATTTCGTGAAATTTTTCTTGAAATTTTTACCTGATTAAAATAAAATAAAAAAATAAAATAAGCTCTAGTTGTTAGTGATCTAGCTTCACACAGTATTTGAGCATACCAGCAGCACAGAATATTTGAAAATGATATTTTCTACCCCTCAACTTTATCTGCACCTCAGACACTGAGGGTTTTGTCCAGCAGTTAGGTGCTCGTGTCACATATGTGACATGCTCGCCTGCACTATGGAGAGGGGATCGATATGTGTGCATCTGTGTCTTTGTTAGTGG